TTGTACTGTAATGTGGAACGTCATTTTCTTCTTGTTAGAATTGATATTAATTATAAAATTGGTACAGAAAAAAGTATCGTTCAGGAACCGAAACCAAAGTGAAAGTACCCGTACTCATTTTTTTAACAGTACTCAGCCCTAAATGTGGACACCAAAAAGAAAGTAGTCTGTTCAAAGAGCAGACGAGTTAGATTTCCTCTGGAACAATAATTATGGCTAAAAGGAACCACAAGAAAAGCCTGGACTGAAGATGCTTGACCAACCTTTGTTTGTCTGAAGTATTCTTGTAATGCTCTGATGGTTATTAGGGGTGTAACGCTACACGTGGGTGTATTGAACCATTTCGGTACAGCATGTTCGGTTCAGTCCACGTGTGTACCGTTTCAGTTATTTATTCACTCATTAAATTTTATTAACGACATTATGCGCCGCGGAACTGAAGTTCTTATGTGTGTTTCAGCTTGGCGCCATTATCTTGCAGCACGCGTAGCATTAGCAGCCTAGCGGGCACCAAACAAGCCATCTCGTTGCGGTCTCCTGTTTGGGAACATTATGACTTTCTTGTTAAAAAACAAGTGAACAAATCCAAAGCTGTGTGTCGACGTTGTTTCACAGAGATTGGATCTCCAGCAGGCAGCACGTCTAACTTGTTAACGCACTTGAAACGGCATCAACCGAACGTGAACGTAGCTTGGTGCAAAGACCGATAGCAGCAGCATTTAAACAACCTTTATCAGGTCATCCAGATCGGTCCAAAGCAATAACGCAAGCTGCAGGAGTTTTTAAAGCTCTGGATCTACGTCCGAATGTTGTTGATGTGCCGGCTTTAAGTTAAAGCATATAGGTAAAAACTTGAGACCCGCTGCCTTCGACATCCCATCACGTCAACACTTCAGCCAAAAAGTTGTAGTAGCACTTCATAAAAAAGCTAAAACTGATATTGTCAACAAACAGAACCCAGATTTAAAGCCCTGCCACATCGATGATGAGCAAGAGAGAATATTCAACCACCTCATGATGACCGTGCAAGAAGAGGTATTATTATTGTATTATTGTGATCTAATTAACATTTTTAATTTAAAATTATAATCTTATTAACTCGATTTTTTAACATCTCTGTGTTATTTGCAGTCTGAGGATGACAGCAGCTGAGTCTTCTTCATCCACCAGATCACCTCCAGCTAAGAAGTCTGTAATGACTGAACTTGTTTACTTGGCATATTTTCTAAATGAACATTTTGTAAGTTTTTATTTTGGCCTTTTTTTGTACCGAAAATTAACCGAACCGAGCCCTCCTTGAAACTGAACCGAAATGTGATTTTAGTGTACCGTTACACCCCCTAATGGTTTTACAGGACTCTTTAAATCTTTTTTTAATCAATACTTTTTATTAAGAAAGGTTTGTTTATGTTCAAATTGTATTTGGTCATCAAGCCTTCAGATTCTTTCTTGTTCTGTTCATGTTTTCTCTGGCAATAAGAGAAAAACTTAAAACTACATTTGGAAAACCAAAAAAAAAAAAAAAAAAGACAACGAAAGAAAACTCCAATTCAGATTGTCTGATTTGTGAAGCCTAATCAGTTTTTTTTTTTCTAACAACAAGGAATTGCATTTTACTACTAATAATATTGCATTTTACTTTAACATTACAGAAGGTCTGGAACATATCAATCTATTTTTTTTAAAGCGGTAGTGACAGGCATACGACTTGCAGCGTGTACAACCGAACAAGGGTCAAACGATTGACCACTGTATCACTCAGGTGACGCAACGGGGCAAAAGTCACTGCAAGCGTGATGACAGGACTAATATCAAGTAAGCAGTCAAACTAATTGTTATGGATTTCTAAATTAATGAACATGTACTTATTTGGCAAGAAGCTAAAATAAAACTAAAAGAAAATGACTTTTGAAAGAAATGTTATGGCTGCTTAAAACCCAGTTTCTTGATTGCAATTAGTAAGCAAGAGAGCGGATGTATATGAATCATGTTACAGGACAGGTAACCCTATGACACACCCATTGCGTACTATCAAAGGAACTACTTTCAGAAAAACACCCAGACCCGTGTGCTGAATTAATTTAAAACAACTTGCGGATCTTTTTGTAAACATTCACACAATTGGGATGTAGTTGGATATGTGCTTTTCATGAATGCACCCGCCATTTGCCAACCATTTTCTGTTTTTGTTGTTATTTTCTTAAACAAATCTATGGTGTCTTCATGTTGAAGAAGAAAAAAAAAAAAAAAAAAAAAAGAGTAGCTGCATATTCCCACACTGAGGGAACACAAACTTGAATCAGAACAGGACTGCATTCCTTGTCACATGAAGGGAGGTGTCACAGATGTCAGAAGCTTGATCGTCATACTTATTTATTACATTCAAAGTTAGCAACGAGCCAGCATAGGTGAATCGTTTTGCTTCTTTCAAGGTGGAAAACTAGTTTTCCAATCTGCAGATAGGAATGCTTTGAAAGAGTCAGTTTCTCATAGTTATGTATTCTTGATACAAGACATATTTACAACACATACTTTCATATATGTTAAAAAGCACAGGGTGGATCTATTCGATTCATCTTAGGTGCTTTATTAAAATGATGAAAACCCACTCTACCTGAAATGTTCCCTGATTTGACATCGTTACAGATGTATAATGGTCCAAAATCGCTTGCAGTTTACAAGATCCAGTAACAGTGACGCATGCATTACAGTTTACTTCACTTTCAAACTGAAACCATTGACTTCTCATCTTATGGATAAGGGCACTTTCTAGAAGAAACCATTCTCATCAGGTCAACTATTTTATCGCAGAATAAAAAGGTGATTGCACAGAACGTCTTTCAGTTGATTGTTTTACAATGCCAGGATGTTTAAGAGGCTCTTCACTGGAGATCGCAAATTAACACACACACACACAAAATAAGAAGTCTGATTTATCCACCTGCTGGGACAGTAATTAATTTATATGCCCCGACTAGCACCGCTGTGTTATTACTCAGAAATACATGTTTCTCACAACAACATTGTTCATCTTAATCTAAATCTTTCCTTCCGTGTGACCATTTGACAGCTATGACTGAAATCCGTCCCAACGCATTCTCTACAAAAGCAATGAAGTCGCAGCCAAACAGCAGCTGAACAACGTCGTGTTAAAGCTCGTATCGGTGATGTGACGAGTGCTGTGCACCATCAGGTGGGCAGAGTGATGCAACAGAGGCTGCTCAACTGGTTCCACGGGAGGCGTTCCTCCAGCATTACTGAGAGAAGTGCTGACACTCATTGAAATGACACAAGCTGTCTGCCTGTATAGTCCTGAATCAGTCGAGCAGAAGGGCCCCTTTAGAAGGAGCACTGCACTCGAGACACGAGCACAAGGCGACACGGCTAAAACCTCCAAGCAGCAGCACCCCCATGCTGCATCAGTGCCTTAGATTTTCTGAAAGCACTCTCTCTGGTCAGTTGTGGGTTCAAACAAGGCTGTACAATATATTGTATCGGTGTCAACAATGTGCTGCGCGCATGAGCAGTATGCAGGATTCAGGCAAGGCAAAGTACCTAGGGTTTTCTTTTTGCACCAGCTGCTTCAGGTAAAAATAAAATGCAAAACAAAACCCGCTTTTTCAAAAATGATGCAGCTTACAAATTTACTAATGCATCCCTTTAAAGGTGCACAATTTAGACTTTTGCAATGAGTGATAATTACATAGTAGTTACACAGTAGGTCAAATTGTGATTATTTGTATTTTTAGCCAAGGACTTACAAAGTAATGTATATATCATGTGCATTTAAGCTTAATTACCACCTGTGAAATACTTGTACAAATTCATCCTACTTGCACAGTTGCATTCTACCATATTTCTTTTGGACTTTATATTTATTTTTCACTTTTTTTGTACCCTTACTGCATGCTTAGTATATCTTGTTTGTTTTTAAGAGTCAAATCAGTTCTTCTCATCCTGAACATTTGATTGCATTGCTGACCTTGTGTTAACCTGCATGACGAATAAACAACACAAGTGCGAAGAATTAAAGTTAAAAAAAAAGGACTTGCACAAGTTGCTTATCCCTTTAAATGTTGGAAGCAGATTCACTCTCCAAATTGTGCTTTTATATTCATCTAATACAGTGCAGTTCTACACATGTGTCCACAGTGACATTGTTGTGCACGCAATAAAATAACGCAACACAAAACTTGCTCTATACTTAGTTACTAATGTAACGTTTCTATACTTAATACAGTAACGCTTTAAAAAAAACTGCGCTCACGACATACCTGAGTTTCTACGGTTTCCCGTAAACTTTCTTTTTAACTTTTTATACGTTTCAAGCTTTAAAGCACGACGTAAACTGGTAGTTTAGAGCATCGAGAATAAATGCAAACACGACAGAAGCAAAGTAGTTAGTGCACCCTAAACAAACGGAATAAAATTATCCTCGGGTAAACTAACAGGGCAAAATTGTCACAAAAGCTTAGTTAAAACCACCGCACTCGCTTGTCACAAACTGTTTAAGACGGTTTTGGTTATATTCTGTCAAAAAAAAAAAAAAAAAAAGAACGAAACTAGCCAGCGGCTACGCAGGTTAGCATGCTAACGCTCCAGTTAAAAACTAGCCGAAGTTCGTCCGGCGTTGACGGAACAGTCTCTCGCTAACTCAGCACAAAAAAAAATAAAAACGACACACGAAAAGTAAGCGTGCACGTCAAATTTAGCACTTTTATGAAGCAAACGCGCGGCCGCTCCAGCGCACAATAAGCCCGTCTTTGCAAGCTTGACGCCCGCCTCGTCTACTTGGCTTGTCTGCAGAAAACACCGCTGCCACAAGTTAGCTTAGCCGCCAAGCTAACGCTCGCTAACAGGCTAACGCCGAAGCGAGAGCCTCTGTCAAGACACAACCGAGATTGAAGCCGTCTCTCGCACCGAATCGTGGATTTCGCCACAAAAAAAAAAAACATACATTCCCCCCCACTTGCGTGGTGGGTAAGGACGTGTCTACTCACAACGCGGCACTTTTCGCTGAGTCCTCGCTGTTAGAATCCGTTTAATGGAAGCGACGCTGACCTTCGCGGTAGTGAAACAACATTTCTGCTGGCTGACTGCGCCGCCATGTTCCTCCTGCTCTGCAAACCAACGCTGACTGTTTATGTGACTGGTAGCTGCTATCCTCCCCCACAGCAAACCAAATCACGGGGCTCCAGCGACTCACCGCCGAAGGGGGGGCGAGTCGTATGCATCTCCCCCTCCCCACGTCCGTTTTACCTGTTAGGATGACGATGCTCGCCGTTTGATTAATCAGCACAGACATTTAACTGTCACGCTGTTTTAAAGCGTGCACGATGCAAAACTACATTTCATGCTTTCTCAAGAACGAAACGTGAAGCAGCCTTAGGTAGAAAATTACAATTTAATGCATGTACAAATGACGCTTTTAAACATTTACATGATGCGTTTAAATGATCTCAATAGGCTGGGAGCAAAACTGATTTATTATAAAAAAAAAAAAAAATAAAGTTAAAATGCATCTGTTTGTGATCATTAGAAACTTGACTTGAGTTCCGAGAGCTGCAAATGGTGTCAAAAGAAACGTAGATGTATTATTGCTGGGCTTTTTTTTTTTTTTTTTGTTATTATTATTTTAATCTACTTCTTTTTAAAGATTGGTTTGATTTACAGTATTACAGTCAAAATGTAAGAAAGTTTTTTTTTTTTTTCTGTTGAAACTTGTGCAACACCACCTCCAAGTGGTGAGCAGCTTCTAGTCAATGTTAAGGTCATGTCCTCAAAAAGGTTGAGGAGTAAGAACTGACTGTTCGCGCAGGGGTGTTTCAAAAGGGGGGGGCAGATGGGGGCCACCCCCAAAATCAAATGTCTTACACAAGCTTTTTTTTTTTTTTTAATCCTTATGTAGGCTTACCTCAGTTTCTTATTTTACAGTTTATATTATATTATAATGTATTATATATGTTAAGTTCCTGGCAAAAATCAATGCAGACATATTCCTGTTTTTAGCTTTCTACACCGCCTTATAATCTAGCTTTTTTTTTTTTTCCTTTTGACTGTCCTTTTGGTTACTATTTTGTTTTGATTAGTAAAAAAAAAAAAAAATTGCATGCCTCTTTTGTGACTGTCTACTGTTGTCGTCGTTATCCACTGTTGTCATTATTCTTTGTTAAAGAAATCAGGTCTCGCTTGTAATCGAGTCCCCGAGACTCAATGGGATTAACCTGTATTGAATGAATATTAGTCGCTGAGACCTACTCAACCTATTAAAACTTGCCCTTTCATTTCTTTAAACTCTTTATTATAATTTGAAGGTTGAGCATTGCTTCTTCTTTCGTTTCACCTGCCACAGTTTATGCCAGAGTTAGAGACTAAGATCTGCTTATGTTGAGAAATGATAGAGGCATTTTGGTCAAACCTCAAAAATAACATTCATTCCATGCTCAGAGTATGTGTCAATGAATCTTAGCTACTACATTTATTTTTCTCATCTGACTGACTTTCTGGCATTTTTCTGTTGGCTAATATCAATTAGCTGTGGTAGCTAGTCATCATAAATTGGACTGACTCAAAAAGCTTGTCAGTTGATTACTTTCTGCAACTTGCATTAAAATGCATCCAGCGACTCGTGAGATATTTTGCTGATAAAAACTGGATTAACTCCAACAAATAATGTTGCGTTTTGAAGCTAAATCTTGTGCAACGAGGAACTCTTTGAATATGCACTGTGAACAACTCAACTACAACCACACCAAATTTTTTTGGACAATATCTGCAAAATCGATTGAATTGTAGCCAATTGTGTGTTTTTTAAGTTCAGTTGGCTGCGGCAGCCATCTTAAATTGGGTTTTCTTCAGATTACTCAGCTGTTGTACTTCCTCAAATAATTCGATATTGAGGGTTTCATTAAAATCCATCCAGTGGTTCATGAAATATTATAGTCATAGACAGATTTTATTAAATTTAAAAAAAATGCTGTGCAATCTAAGCTACTACAACATTAGATTTTAAGCCATTTGGGACTTAAAAAATTTTTTGTTTTTGCCGGTGAAAACTGTAAAAAAAAAAAAAAAAAGCATTTTGAAGCAAAACTTTGGCAAGCAAATTGATCACAGACTAGATCTTTATCTCAGATAATTCAATGATTCCAATTCAAAATAAACATTTTAGCTATCAAGGATACTATTCGTCCTATCTATAGTTAACATTTGATTTAAAAATCAGGCTGCTTGTATGTCTTTTACTACTTTGTTTTATGTTTATCTTATTTATTGTATTAAACAGAACTTTGGTCTCATGTTGGTTTAAAGTGGCTTATAATAAAGCTTTTATGGCTTTGCAGACATGCCAAAAGTCATTCTTTCTTAAGACAAATGTCACTTTTACTGTCATGTATATATCATGGGCTTTCAACAGCAGACATCCTATACACTTTTTTCTATCTAGATGACAAATTTATAAAACAATATAATTAAGGGTGTCTAATATTCATATTATTGATTCAACTGTGATTATAAAGCTCAACTAAGCTGTTTCAGAAATTTATTAAGAACTTGACCAAAATTTTTTTTGACATAAAACAGGCGAAAGGAAACTAAAAGCAATTACATTGTTGATATTTTAATTGTGATTATTTTTTCTTATTAAAAACTATTTTTCATATCCTTAATTGTTTAATTGGACAGGAAAACTGTAATTAACATTTGGTTATAAAAAAACTGATACAAATAAGACATCAACTGCCCCCAGAAGAGTGACGTTTGACTTATTGGAAGTTATTGTGGATAGGAAAATTCATATTCTAGATACCATAAATGATTTTGTTTTTGACAAGTAGGAATATAATTATGGAGAACAGCAATGCATGTTCAATCTAGTCATTAAATGCTAAAAAGCCACTTAAACCCATTAAAGGACTTTTTAGACATTTAAACTTGTCTTTTTCAATTGTAAATAACTTATTCAGTATTATACAAATGGTTATAGACAGCTTTCGTTTTAATTGTAATATGTAAAAATGACATCTTGTCCAAGATGAACACTGTTAAAGTGGAGTTATGAGTGTTTGATTATATAATACAACCACCTGCCATACTTTTGAATGCAGACTGAATTGTTACAAAATTTAAACTGGATCAGTATGTTTTTACTTTTGTCATCAAATATATAATATTTAAAGGAAAACAAAAGACTCATGGGCACTTATATTGTAATGATTAACAAAATAACTTCATTAGAAAATGTTGCTTTCCACAAAGTCATTTTTCTGGAAAAACTTTTTACGAGATTGTTTTTATTTCTTCACAAGATAACACCCCAGGACAAATTGAAGAAAAAAAAAAATCAAATACTGTTGGGATTTAATCAGCTCACATGTGTCTAAAATTACTAAATGGGTTCATTTTTTTCCACGTTTGTGTTGCCTAGGTAACTGAATATTTTAAATACAGTCATCAGCCTCCATAGCTTTAAGTAAAAGGCAAATGGTCAGCAAGTCAACCAGGCCCATTTGGCACAGTCATTACTGGGTATGGGGATGAGAAAATAGAAATATACTCCATTTGCAATCCACACTTTTACAAGAAGCCATTCCTTTGGACGTTTAAGCCAAGCAGTAATCTCAGACCCAAACAAATGCACATAAATATTTCACCTGAAACATTAAAAGAGGCTGTACTACACAAAATCAGCCTAAATCACCAAAGGGATGTTTTTGCAGATTTCCATCTCATACAAAGATACAGAATTAAAAACTAACGTAAAAAGTATCATTAACAGCATTATGGATACAAGTAACAGTCTGAACAAATTCATGACATGTTCTGTTGTGATAAAGCTGTTCTAATCTCCTAGAATTAAATGCTACATCAGGGCTTTAATTTTTTTGCTAGAGGTTCTGGACTTTATTGAGCCATAAATGTCCTTTTCAGCTTTACAGCATAAATCCTGCTCGTTTTTATACAATATTTCAATAGCAAAAAAAAAACCTTGTGTTACAGCTTTCTTCCCATTTATAGGCGTCTGCACATATTCTTGGGGGTGTAACTGGGTTAGAGTTTGACTACTCTTCTTTTACAAATGGCGACTATAACCTCCACTTACAAAAAAAGAGACTATAAGGAAGATTCTAATTGCCTGCAGAATATTTCCAGATAACAAAAGGTGTCATCTGCAAAGAAGCTGAGCTAATTGTTATAAATACGAGGAACGGTGAAGAAATAAAAGTGGAATACACAGTATTTGATACAAAAGTGATTGCCTGGTTATTTGTAAAGTGATGTTTAGTCAAATGGCTAAAAAAGTTGAGACCTGTGACATCAGTCAGAGCATAGAGAAAATGTCATATGTATCATGCAAAAAAAAAAGTAGGTTTATTGTTAGCTAATGTGGAGGCTGCGGCAGCTTGGCGGTCAGTGCCACTGTCCGGTAATTCTGAAGTTGCGGATTCAAGCCCAGGTTGCATCAGAAAGGGCTTCTGGCGTAAAACAAATTGCCAAATCTTTCATGAGTGTGCGACCACTAAAGGGAGCAGCCGAAAGAAACTTGTTAGCTAAAATAGTAGGGATGCACGATATTATCAAAATGGTATCGGTCGATATTAGCGTTAGAAGTTCAATATCGGACATCGGCCATTGCATCAGAATAACTCACAGATATAAAAGTTGCCGTTTTTGTATGACAACCCAGTGACGAGGATGCCTGCAGCAGCAGCACAACGTGATGTCATCCCATGCGCCTACCTGATTTCACGGCGGAGAGGTAAATTCAAAATGTCGGCAGTGTGGAAGTTTTTTTTCATTGAGGATGTTGGATTCCGAAGATTTTTGGACTACGTTGAGCCTCGCTACATCGTCCCCATTCTGAGATATTTTTGCGACGTAGCCTTACTCGAGTTACAAGCAGTCATTTCCGACGTCATTGAGAAGCTAATAGCCGATAGCACTTGGGTGGGTTTTACTACAGATATATGGACGTCGTGTTAGCCCCGTTAGCATGATTAGTTTTACAGCACAACGGATAGACAAAAACTTTGATTTTAAAAAGGCTGTCCTTCATGCACAGGAGCGCAAAGGATCCCACACTGCAGCTAGGAACCTGGAACAAGCCTCCACAAGTGAGACAGCATCGCAGGTGACTAATGCTAATATATAACATTTAACACTTTTCATTTAAAATAAGTTAAAGTGCTGTTACTGAATATGTCACCAGCTCTTACAGCTGTTACACAATTTTTGTAGCAAATAAGCCTAAATAAGAGGGCTATGTTCTGACAAATGAAATTATATAAAATATCGGTATCGGTTATCAGCCAAGTAAGTTTTAACACATCGGCATATCGGCCAAAAATCCAATATAGTGCATCCCTATAAAGTTGCGTTCTTTTGTTGATTTTGAGTATGGTACGTTGTTTTATAAGTCAGAAAACCATTTAAAAAAAGGCCCTCTTTGACTAGTCAATAGCCTAGCTTAGGCCAAGACTTCTGCCCTTTTCTCCATAACCTGCGACTGACGTCACGGCTGAAAACGTACTACCTATTGACAACTTTCTGACATAACATCACTTAAAAAAAGGCCAGTTACCCTTTGAAGCCTTAAACAGCTGAAGTGGGAGAAACGAACCGTGAAGTGATCATTCCTGAAGTTTTAAAAATTACACACTGTACAAAAACAATTCATATCAATAGGCACTTCTTAAATAAAGGTCTTCTTTCCTTCAGTTTATTTGAGTAATTTTTTTTTTCCCATTCAATATGGCACGGCAGGGCAAAGACTTGGAACAACAAGCGAAAGCTAAACGGCCCTGGGAATTCCAGCTGGGAGGGCTGTCTTGTGTGGGAGTTGGAAAAACGCACATCGGGGTCAAGGAGCTGAGGAATCCGCTGGCTGGACACGACCATGAAGACCCCAGGCGAGATGGTTCTTTGAGATAGGTGTGTGGGGGTGTGAAAGGGGGGCAAAGGGCTCAGGGGAATGTATTTTCTTTGTTTTTCTTATGAGGACTTCTCTTTTCTCAATCTTGGTGAATCAGCACCATGGGAGTTCACTCCATTTACTCCATTGGCTAAAAACAACAAGTACACAACCAAGTTAGAATATATATATTTAAAAACAAAGATAACTGTTCTGATGTTTTTGCTTTTCCATCAGTGTTCTTGCTCACTCACCTTTGTCTTTCTTTGATTTGCTCTTAGAAGGAGCTTGTTTCTTTTTCAAGGCCTGGGCATCGGAATGCTCTCTCCATCGGCGCAGCTGAAAGTTGATAAACTTCCACATCATGAAGGCCTGCGTGAAGCAAATGGCTGCCAGGACGGTTACTCTAAGCGAGGCAAAAAAAACATATGAATGATAAAAAAAATAAAAAAAAAGATGGACACGATCAAGTTTTAGTTATTAAACATTCTACAAAAAGTTTACAAGTTTCATGTAGCCACCAACAGCTTTTATGTGTGCTGAGGAGCACGTAGTCGAGTCCCAGTCCAGCTTTTGTCCGAAGTCTCACAAAGACCCAAAATGTTTAAAAGCTTTGTTGGACTGCAATGTTTTGGACAGTCTTTTTTCCCCCTTCTCTTTACATTCACTTACCGAACGAAGAAAATGTTGAAGTTCCCTGAGGCCAGATCAAAGCCTTGTTTCTCAGCAGTGGAGAGGCCGAAGCCCACGGTGAGGACAGACAGGGACAGGGTGAGCAGCCGTCCAAGAACAAACAAGACAGCCCAGATGCTGAAGCTGTGAAACCAAGACAGGATGATCATCTTTGAGCATTCAAGACTTTTAAAGTCCAATACTGTTAAATGTACACATACATATATACATAGGTTAATCATGACTGTAGTACTCCTTACCGTTGTGTGCATGTGCATATTGTCTTTTTCCAAATGTGTGTATTCTTAGTGTTTGATTATTTCAAATGTGTCTTTTTTTCTGTATAATTAGAATGTGCTAATGAATGCCTCAAATTTTACCCCCGGGATTAATAAAGTATCTATATATCTTATCTATAGCTATCTACTGTATATCTCTATCCATATATCCCTATCTACCTCTATATCTCTATCCCCATCTAC